TGTTCTATTGTTCTCATTACTTCTTGTTAGGATGTGTGTAATTTTTTCGGTTTTAAGTTACTTAAAGATCGAAAACTGAAAAGAATAAATACAAATAAACAAAATAATATAAAAAAAAAACAAGTAAAATAAATTTACCCAAGCAAATAAAAAATGAATTAACAAACCACTCCCTTTAAAATAGACGACATAGAACAAATAAAAATAGAAAATAAATACATAAAATACAAGTAAAAATAATCAGTCCGAATAAAAAAAATAAAGTAAACAATAAACAAACCAACGAAACAATCCCCACAAAATGACCGTTAGAATAGTTAAAACTGCAATATAACGATAAGAAAATTACTACGTTACTCAAAAATCGAAAACCGAATAGAGTAAATAAAAATAGATAAAATAAAAAAGAAATAAAAGTAAAAAAATTAGCAAATAAAAAAGAAAAAAAACAGGAAAAAATTAAACCAAAATAAATAAATAAAAGAACAAATTACAAATCGTTTCTGCTAAAATGATCGTTAGGCCCAATTAAAAGGAAGCAAAAACAAGTAAAATAAGTGACCTAAGCAAATCCCCCGAAAATTTTGTACCACGTTAATTAAAACAAAGAAAACCAAAAAGAATAAATAAATAAAAAATGAAAATAAAAAACAAATAAAATAAATTAACTCAAATAAATAAACAAGCCACTCTCACCAAAATAACTACCAGAATGGATTATCCACAATATACCACTGACCCACATATATAAATAATCGATGACAAATCCAACACTCGCGGCCTGACGATTGTGTCCAGCATGAAACAGCCTGTCGCCTCTAAGTTTTGACTTCTATGTTCACTTTTATATTTAATCTCCTCTCTCTCTCTCTCTCTCTCTATATATATATATATATATATATTTATATATATATATATATATATATATATATATACGTGGAACAGACTACCCCAGTGAGCGAAATAAAGGGTTCAGTTCGACATTCCAACCACCTGAAGAAGGACAGAGCGTACAACGGCCGAAACATTATAATAAATATGGCGACAAAGATGAGGACAACAGACCGAATAATGTAAATAGCGTACATAAGACCTCATCTCAGAAACAGACAGATACTAAAGGGCTGAAACGTTGTAATAAATATGGCGACAAAGATGAGGACAATAGTCCGAATAATGTAAATAGTGTCCTTTTTTTTCTTTTTCATTTTTTTTTTGTCTGTCCAATTCTTGATTGAGATATCAGGTACACTATCTAGCCTTTAGTTGACCAACTGCACCAATCAAAACCACTCGATTTCTTCACAGCATGTACCCCATAAACCATTCTTAATTCGTTTAATATTTCACCCGTATTTTTTATTGATAATATAATTTGGGTAGATATAACCGTAAGTTCTATGCTAACAGTTTCTTTTCTCGCACTACTCGTTTGTGAAACTCCCATCCGGTTCCAGTCAACTTTAATCTGTAAAAATTGAAATGCATTGTCAATCGCTATCTACTGTCCATTATAAATCTTCTTTTGTTCTAGATCCTTGGTAATGTTTCTGTTTCTAAACATTCCACCCTTGTGTCTCAGTCGCTTTACTAATGTGTGGTTTATACTACAACTATACTGAACAAACCTTAGTTACAGTTTCCGAGAGAGACGTCAATACCTGTCATGGTCATCGATCGTCATGAGCAATTTAAACAAGACCAGTGCGCCCAATGACTTGAGACATCGTGATACCACAAAGCATCGACGGCTTCCAAATAGTTCCGTCTATCCAAATTCACGCGCAAGTCTTGGGTCAACCCGTGGTATAGATTTCAGGAAGTTTCCAACAGAGCCGCACGCTGATAGCGTCTCCCCAGGCCGGTAACATCAAGGAGATACTTCCCTGACAAGTCGACCAAGGTGAAATTCGAACCCCGGTCTCATGGTTGGAAAACGGACGTTTTATTGTTTATCTATATAAACGAGGGAATTATTTACATTATTCGTACTATTGTCCTCATCTTTGTCGCCATATTTGTTACGACGTTTCGGCCGTTGTACGCTCCAGCCTTCTTCAGGTGGTTGGAATGTCGAACTGAACCCTTTATTTCGCTCACTGGGGTAGACTGTTCTAGTTCCATGTTAAGTTCTAGTTAATGGATGTCAGTTGTCAGTTATCTCCTGTTAATTTCCCTCTGAAAGTTCTCCACTGCCTTAACTAGGTATTGAACTCACACTCTTTGGGTCCAGTTATTGGATCTAACTAACGCCTTTACCCACTGCGCCATGTGTCCTTGAGGAAATATCGACAGATACGAGGGAATGTTGAAAATTCTGCTCAAGACAATTCTTAAAATCAGTAAATAAATACTGGGTCGAATTGTGTATTTTCACCATCTCCTTGTATTTGTGCATTTCTCTATGTTAGCAGAAGAGTCGCCGACATAAAGATGAATAACGTGTCTATATGTAGTCGGCTAGTTTCATATAGGATAAAATAAGAATGTTCTCTTATTTGAAACATAATGATGCTATTTTTATGGAAGGCAAGACTAACGAACGAACGAACGGGTAGATCTACGAAAAACTAGTGCCAGTCTCGAAGGAAGATAGCAATCAGAAGATAGCAATCAGAAGATAGCAATCAGAAGAATGACGTTTTACCGGACAAATGGTATATGACATCCACACCTGACATTGCATCAAAACTTGTTTTTATGGCAACCATCAAGAAGACGAAAGAACAGGATCTGGCAAGACTTTCGCAAACGTCGGTCAAAATAAAATATATTTTTATTGACTGTTCACTCAATACAAGGCTCATGAGCCACTCAAGTTAGAGGGTTAGTTAGTGTACGTAAGAGGAGGAAGTAAAAAGTGGAGTTATATCTAAAATTAATTTTTAGCTCGCAAATAAATGAATAAATTACAAAGGTTAGATTGACAAGGAAGTCAAATAAATGAATAAATTACAAAGGTTAGATTGACAAGGAAGTCAAATAAATGAATAAATTACAAAGGTTAGATTGACAAGGAAGTCAAATAAATGAATAAATTACAAAGGTTAGATTGACAAAGAAGTCAAATAAATGAATAAATTACAAAGGTTAGATTGACAGGAAGTCAAATAAATGAATAAATTACAAAGGTTAGATTGACAAAGTCAAATAAATGAATAAATTACAAAGGTTAGATTGACAAAGAAGTCAAATAAATGAATAAATTACAAAGGTTAGATTGACAAGGAAGTCAAATAAATGAATAAATTACAAAGGTTAGATTGACAAGGAAGTTAATTAAACGAATAAATTACAAAGGTTAGATTGACAAGTAAGTTAATTAAATGAATAAATTACAAAGGTTAGATTGACAAAGAAGTCAAATAAATGAATAAATTCCAAAGGTTAGATTGACAAGGAAGTCAACTTAGAAATGCAACAAAACAAGAATTTCAAGAATCAGTATATGCCTCCTTACTATGGTCGAGCTCAGTTCACCCTTGTGCTGAGTTGGAACAACCAAAGAGGAAGCTTGACTTACTTCGTAGGTGGGGATTTTTGAAGGCATGTGCGAACACCATGCGTTGTGAAGTGTGAAGAGAGTTCAGTTGTCCGGTGAAACTTACCACGTCTTGCTACATCTTAGTAAATCAGAACAAAAATCAATATAATATATTTGTTAAAATTTTCTAGCGCGATTAGGTATTTTTTGTAACATGTGTCTGTTACCCTTTACACGAAGATATTGCGTTCAATCCTTACTCACAGCTCAAAAAAATAAATAATAATAAAACTTTTCATGCGAAAATTCAGATTGCTCTGTTTGCAACGACATTTTGCTTTATTTATAAGCCCAACTTGAAAAATACTTCAAAACCCTCGGCTGTCTGTTTTCTAATCTACAGTGTTTTTTTTTCCATCGACATGGATGATTATTTGTGATTTCTAAAGATAGTCGTTTGTAGTCCTTAATAAATGCTGTCTTTTTGTGATCTCTCCTAATCCTTGTTCAACCATCCATTTACTCAAGCTCACTTGCTAGGTGATGCGTTGTTTTCCTCTGTTCGTCTTTTTTTCTTCTTTCTTTTTTTTAACCATTTCACCACAAGCAAAGTGATAATGCCACTAAGACGCATGCACTTACAGGGAGTGTAAGACAATAAAAAAGACTTTAGTAAGAAGTAAGGAAAAACACAATAAAAGAACAGGATTCAGGAAGATAGAAGATGACGATTGATGTTACATTTAAATCATTGAAGATGTTGTAGTTGGCGGGAAAGCAAGAAATGGAAAAGAAGTACTACAAAAGAAACGAAGAAAATAGAACTGACGTTTGCATTTAACTAGTTTAACAGTAAAGCGATGAGACCTAATTGACAATCTAGTAGCACGCTTAAATTCACGAGGAAAAACTGAATCAGAAAAATTATCATGAAAATAATAGTAGAAAAGACAGAGGGAAGCCACATCAGATGACATGAATGGGAAAGTGACTCAAATCAAGATGTCTGGTCAACATCGATTATATTACAGACACTTTTTAGAATTTTATCGGCAATTTCGAGATATATAATAGGAGCAAGGATCTAGTTTCAATCTAGTGAATAACGGAAAGACAAAAAAAAATGCATAATTGTTTCTAACCACAGAAATTCCACAGTTATAACTACATAGGTGCAAAAGTCTTCGGTGTCTTTAAATAATGGCACAGTGGATAAAGGTGTTAGGTTAGATCCAGTGACAGGACCAAAAGAATGTGAGTTCAATACCTGGTTAAGGCGTCGGAGAACTTTGAGAGGGGAATAACGAGATAACTGACATCCATTCGACACGGCACGTGGAACTAGAACAGTCTACCACAGTGAGCGAAATAAAGGGTTCAGTTCTACATTCCAACCACCTGAAGAAGGTCGGAGCGTACAACAAAAATGAGGACAATAGTCCGAATAATGTAAATAGTGGACTTTAAATTATTATTTTTTTTAATTATTCCCAGTTTATAATTGGATGTTCCAAATATGAAAAGGAGTAAACGTATCAGCTGTATCTATAGCAACGGGCGTATGAGTAGTGTAGTCGGTGTCGGTAAGTAAGACTCGCGTAACAGGGTTCAAATCCTTTGTGTTCCGTTTTCTTCAAATATGGTTCAAAAGTATAAATTCACATAGTCTCGCCACTCCCAGCTGTTAAAGCAGGACCTGCTTGCTCTCTAATCTTGGTTGGCAATCAGTCTAGGAGAAGGAAATTTAAAAACAGCATGAAGAAAGACGGATTCCATCGGACTCTATTGCTCTAGGCACTCTACTACTGGTATGGTTGCAATATATGTGGTAACCACACGAGACGAAACTCACGAAGTGACGTGTAAAATCTCTCTTCAGTCGCCCATTACTGATGCTAATAGTTTGTTCATTTGATTTTCTACTTTTGGTTTTTGTTTCTTTGTGGTTCTCTTAAAATACCCCTTTTTTATTTTTACTCTGATTTATTTCTACTTTACTGAGATGCGTCCAAATAGTTTTAGATATTTGTAGCACGTATTTACAGTTAATCTTATCATTTCGTTATTATCTGGCAACCTAATACCAATATAGCAATGGGGAATTTCTGCATTGCTAATACGTTTGCATGTTTCTATACCAGAAACATTATTATTACGTAATTTCACAACCTCTACATTTTTTGTTTTATTCTTTGTGAACAACCTGAAGTCACCCATGTGCATTAGGCTGTTTGACATTTTTTACCGTGCTTATAAATTAGTGTATATCCTGCATATCTTCACAAAGATTAGATTTCGTCCTACTGAGGATATTAAAAATAGTAACGGAGAAAGATTTCGCATTTTTTTTAATACTTATCTCTGCTAAAAATTTGTCCTTGTCAGTCAAATCCTTACTCTTATTTCTCAACTGTTATCTTTCATGACTGTTCGGTGAATTTCTGGAAGCATTTAAGCATTTTTTTTTATCAGGCGGTATGTGTATTGACGACATTTACATTTACAAAACATATAAGTACCTATCTAATTGTACATCTCCACACTCACAAAAAAAAAAAAAAAAAAAAACCTGGTATGCTTCTTTTTCCGTATAAAAACATATACATGGACATATCAACAGGTGTCTCAGTGTGCAAATACATTATCATAGTTGTATACATATAGTCATGTGTTAGCGTTCACGTGTGCATAGTAATATTTCTAAAAACAAAGGGAATATAAAACATTCAAAATTGCTGTTCCTATATGATTATTTCTTAGTGTACTTGCTTAGGTTTAGGTTGTTTTTGTGCCGGCATTTGTGTATATAGGAACTCATAGGCATATAAGAAGATATAGGTATGTGGTTACAAATAGGGGTTTAAGACATGTGTAGATAAGAAATTGTAAAAGAAGGGCCTAATTTTCTGCTAGTGACATCTCTTCCAAATTTCTCCTCTAATATTCTCCAATTGGAAGTGAATTTTTAAATAGCACGAAGGAAAGTTTAGATTGGTATTTTAATTTGAGATTGAAAGATACTACCCCAGTGTGGAGAATAAAATTATTTAAATGGGAATAACTGTTGATAATTGGGTACATAAAAAACAACCACGAGTTTATTTAATGAAACAAAAATCAAAAACAATCACGAGTTTACTTAATGAACAAAAAATCAAACGAATAAATGTCAACCTAACAAGCTATAAGATAAAAGTTTTAGTGGAAAAAAAAAAAAAATTACTAAATATAAATTGGATTGCTCTTTCAATGTTCTGTCTATGGATTTTCCAATCGACTGTTTCATAGAAAATACCCAAAACTCCACCGAATTTCAAATTAATTTCTTCGTAGATTGTTTTAAAATTTAGATATTTATCAAACCTTAACCTCCCAAATATGCACGTTAAAGTAACGCGAACTGACAGTGTCTAAGAATTTGAATGAAACCTATCGTGTAATTTATTGGGGTTGTTGTAACGTTTTTCCTTTAATGTAGTTCTTATCGTTTCCCCTTAGCCACCTTTATCTAGAGACGAGACGCGTTAAATTTGAGCAACATCCAGCCGACACACTGGGGTTAAAATAGGAAACTAAAATGATACATATGACACACTCATATCCTCTCTCCCACCTCTTCCTCACTTCGTTAACTTTGCGTATACTTGATGAAGTCCGTAAAAAACGTGTGAATTCTTTTTCATTTTCATTTCAGCTTTTGGAAGTAAAGTCTGATGATCCAGAACCCTGTTAAAGGGGTTATGGTGAAATAGCTTATTACATGGAATCTTAACGTGGTCTGTCTTTTATTCAAACATATATGCTCTGAATTTTACATTGAGCTCTCTGGATATCATCCTCCTCAGGTCTACCCATACGGATTACCTAAATTTGCATAAACTATATATATATATATATATATTATAAATTAATTGATTTTTTGAAACATGGTTAGAACTGTGTAGCGGAAAAAAACATATTTTAAATCAATTAATTTATAATATTAATGCTCTGTAAATTTACATTTAGCACTATTTTTGTAAAATAAAATATCTATAAGAACACCGGATTTTATATCTTACTGTTCTTTCTTTATATATATATATATATATATATATATATATATATATATATATATATATATATATATATATATAACTCCCGAAAAAATAATAAATTCGGTCGAGCACTGTGGAGAAAAAATAAATACGCAAAATTCGCTTTTCTTTCTGCCGGGAGCCGATAGCCGAGGGGTTATAATCTCCGGCTAATACCGAATCAGTCGGGTTTCGGTGCCGGCTTGAAGTGATCGGATGTCTAGCAATACTGACGAGCTTATGATACACCAAAACGGTCTGTCTGTGGATTAACTTTATATATACATATTATAATAAAACATTTTACAGCTTTCATGTTTCAATACTATGATTTTATCTTCCTCAGGTGATGGTCGATAACTTTTGCAAGTTATCTACCATCGCCTGAGGAAGTACAATCATAGTATTGAAGCATGAAAGCTTTTGTGTAGCGATGTAAAATGTTTTTATTATAATATATTATAATAAAAATATAATAATATTTTGCTGTACTTTGTATTGAGCACTTATTTTAAAAATAAATGCTACGAACTGTAAATTTTTACTCTCTGTTCTTTCATATATATATATATATATATATATATATATATAATTGCTGGCTACTCATTTTCCGAGTATACACGTCTGCTAGATCGGCGAGCCAGACCCCATTGCAGACGCCTGCTTTGTGATGCTCACTGAACCAACCTGTGATTTATACTGGAACTATATTGAGCGGTCTCTTTTATAGTTTCTGGGAGAAGGCGTATAATCTGGCGGGATCCCCAGTTTGAGCAAGATGTGTCCACTCAAAACCTTTGTCACAATGACTTTTTACTTCGTGGTAGCACCAACGTTAGTGGCTTTTGAACAGTTCCGCGTGACCGAGTAGTTTGAAGGTCCTCTTTCCGATTATGAGAAACGGTTTCGAATCGAATCATTGTTGATTTGTCAGGGAGGTGACATTTCTTGATGCCATCTGCCGAGTAGTTTGAAGGTCCTCTTTCCGATTATGAGAAACGGGTTCGAATTGAATCATTGTTGATTTGTCAGGGAGGTGACATTTCTTGATGCCATCTGCCGAGTAGTTTGAAGGTCCTCTTTCCGATTATGAAACGGGTTCGAATGAATCATTGTTGATTTGTCAGGAGGTGACATTTCTTGATGCCATCTGCCGAGTAGTTTGAAAGGTCCTCTTTCCGATTATGAGAAACGGTTTCGAATCGAATCATTGTTGATTTGTCAGGAGGTGACATTTCTTGATGCCATCTGCCGAAAGTTTGAAGGTTCCGATTATGAGAAACGGGTTGAATTGAATCATTGTTGATTTGGGGGTGACATTTCTTGATGCCATCTGCCGAGTAGTTTGAAGGTCCTCTTTCCGATTATGAGAAACGGGTTCGAATCGAATCATTGTTGATTTGTCAGGGGAGGTGACATTTCTTGATGCCATCTGCCGAGTAGTTTGAAGGTCCTCTTTCCTGAGAAACGGTTCGAATCGAATCATTGTTGATTTGTCAGGGAGGTGACATTTCTTGATGCCATCTGCCGAGTAGTTTGAAGGTCCTCTTTCCGATTATGAGAAACGGGTTCGAATCGAATCATTGTTGATTTGTCAGGGAGGTGACATTTCTTGATGCCATCTGCCTGGAGAAGCGGGTCCCCGCGTGTAGTACGGATAGAAAGTACCTGAAAATCGTACCTCGGGCTGAATTAAGCCTTGTGAGTGTCATTGGGTGGCTGGAACTCTTCGGCCGCTCTATTTTTACTGGTTACTTGTCTTTGAATTATTAGCCCAGATTTTTATTTTATTAAATAGTGAAATCGATAACAACTTGCCTAAATTGAGAAGTTCTGTTAAAAAAAAAAATCCTACCTGCAACAGGAATCGAGCCTGCATCCTTTTTAAGGACAATGTCTCTACCAATTCGGTAACGAGGTCAGACTGACAGAACAATTTCAAAATTACCTAGGAAAGAAGACGTGTTTCTCTTTGAGACTTCATCGAATTTATATCTGCTAGCTTTAGTTTAGGCCATGAAGCGTAAATAATAAGTAATTTTTTTTTGTAAGGATATTTTAACAGACGTTATTTTTTTTTCACTATAAACAGTAATAAGAAATAATATCTGTTAAAAAACCTTTCAGAAAATTAATCTCTCTATATATCTGAACGTATAATTATTTTAAATAGAAATGAATTATCTTTTAACTCCCTTTCTTTTTCTTCTGTGATCATGAACATTTACAGGGTTTATTATGAAAATAAACTTTATAAGTTGAATTTTAAGAAATTAAAAGGTGATTATTGTTACGAATAATCAAGAGTTGTCTCCCTTTGTTTCGTTACTCTCCTCTGTGAGAGATCTATTTCTGTTTACCGGGACTATAAAGGACACTATACGCGAATCGTATATTCTTAGTTGTATAAAGCGTTCTTAAAGCCTACACCTGCGTACTTTTGTCATTACAGTTATTTGTATTATAATTACCCTTTTTCTGTTTATATTTCAGTTACCGAAACAGAGTAAAAACGGTAAATCTTAGCAAGATTTCTAGTAGGGCAATACTGTTAAAATGTTCTTACTTAAAGGACAAATCAATTTCCAATCCAATTTGGAATTTAATAACAATTATTAAACTTTGCTTTCTTTCTTTTTTTGTTCGTCATGAGCATTTCTATACTTTTAATTTTTAATCATTTCACCCCATGCAAGGCAATAAAGCCAATAAGACTAAAAGAGCTATTGTGTATGAGAGAATATGAAAAAAAAAACACTACTGAGATTCGATAACAATAAAAGAATGAGAACTAAGAAGACGGACAAGTGCTTATTGAGTGTGAAGGAATCTAAGAAACAAACATTAAGGAGACGACTATAAAAGAACAGTTTTCAAAGGGATAGACGATAACGATTGACATTGCATTTAAATTTTTGAAGGTCAAACTTGACTGTCAAGCAAGAAGACGTAAGAGAGTTCCACTAGAGAGAAGTGTGAGAAAAGAAACTGTTACCACAGAAATAAAAAAAAAAAACTAGCTAATTCAACAGTGAAATGATGAGACCTTACTGCCAATCTAGTACTGTGCTTAAATTCATAGTCTAGGTCGATTAGAGGAAAGTTCATCATAACATTTACCATGAAAGAATTCATAGAAAAGGCACAGGGAAACTACTTTGCTGTCTTACAAAAACAATTGTTTTAAATTGTGACGTCAAAAATTATTTAGGATTAGACTCCTGCTGATTAGGGATTAGTAGAAAGGCAAGTAAAAGTAACTTTAAATTTTAAATGTAATTGGAGTTTGATTAATTACAGAGTAGTTCCCTCTTTATTTATTTGAATTAAAATAATTAGTTTATGAATTTTGTAAATAAAAAGTAACATGCTATCGAAATTAACAGTCAAATTATGCGGTCTATTTTCTCAGAGTTGTTACTTTTAATATATGTCTATACCGTGATTCCTTTTGCTGAGGTTATCGTAATTCAGATTTTATAAGCTTACCCCTTTTTTTTTTTTTCATTGCTGCATGAATCTAGACTTTGTTCTGAAGACAATCCGTATCCACCTTTTATCAGTGATGACGTCAAACTCCTGAAAAAGTCAACCTGCACCTACGTCAGGTTCACGGGAGATATTCATCTGAGTGTGATGGGATCTCATTAAAAAGTACATGAAGATGAGAAATATACTAGATAAGCAGGGTTTTTTTTTCACATTTTTTTCTTTTGTGTCTCTTTCTTTCTTTTCCCATTTTTTTCTTTGCTTTCTTCCTGTTTAAAATTTTCCATCTGGCCTATCTTTACGATTGCTGCTCTTCCACCATTTCTTTTGCACCCCTCGTTTACTCCATTTCTTTCTTTAATCTTAGTTTATTTTTATCCTTTTCTGCTTTTCTTTCTCCTTTATTTTACGCCTCTTTCTTTCTCAATCTTTACACTCTCTCTTTTCCCCTTTTTCTTTCTCCATTTCTATCTAAAATTCTTCATCTTCTTTATGATTGCCGCTCTTCCACCGTTTCTGTTGTGACCCTCGTTTACACTCTTTCTTTCTTCAAATTTATACGTCTTTTTAAATCTTTAGATTTTTATTTTTCTACTCCTTCCCTCTTTCACGATTTATCGCTATCATTTCTCTTTCTTTTATCTTTATTCCGTGTTCTCTTCCATTCTTTCTTTCTTCACATAATGCATCTGCCTCGTTTTCACCTTCTAACTTCACTATCTCTTTCTTTTCCGATGTTTTTTTTAAATTTCTCTATTTCGTTTATCTCCCCTTTTTTCTATCCACTCACTCTATGAATTCTTTTCTTTTTGATTCAGCCTTTTTCTCCGCAATTTCAATCTTTTCTTTCGTCGTTTCTTTCTTTAACTGCCTCACTTATTTTCTGAAGCCATGTCTCCGTTTTCTCCTGACGCCCTCTTTACTAAAATTAAGAACAAAAAAATGGGCTTCTAATTTTTATTCCAGGGTCCTCATTAACCGGACTCTCGCCATAGTTTGAGCACAAACGAAGGTAAATAATGTACTCTCGCTGGAAAGCCCTATCTCACGACAAAAAATGTAAAAAAAATACTTACTAAGCTTTAATATTTTACCTTTTGCCCATCGTCCGGTTCACACTCCTCCCCGGTCTTTTGAACAGATGTAGGGGTTTATCGTTTTTTTCCTTATTTAAAATTGGGTTTCCGGTTCCTTCTAAAGTCTACTTCCAAACTATACTTCTAACGTCTCCACATAAACTCTGAAATTTTATTCACTAATTAAATCTTGACTTCTTCAATCTACGATTAACCGTTAATGGCCTCAAGAACTTCATTGCTTGTCCTTTCTGGCCCTAATGCAACTCAACACAGTAACCCTCTACCTAGAGTGGATCTCGGGCCTTGTATTGAGTGAACATTAGTAAAATAAAATAAAAAACGGTTGCATGTTTGTGTGTATTATATATGGATGTCTAAATAATTAATGAAAAAGCATGCAAAAACTTGAGATTTCTTCTACGGACTCTTAATCATTTTTATGCCGACCGTAGTGAAACAAGTTCTCAATATCTCTTGGGTTAGTCCTGGATTTAGGGTAAGCATCGTATTAATGGTCGAGCTCAAGTTAGCATTGCGCAGAGTAGGAACAACCAAAAGGAAAGTTTAGACTTTATCGCTGGAAGATTTAATCGTTGTTATGTGTTGTTCCAGAAGTTAGGGTAAGTATGAGCATCAATCTAGTGTAGATTTTTGGAGGACACGTGCCAGCAGCAATTGGAAGAGTGATCAGTCGCCAGTGGACCGGGTAAACTAACGTTCCTCAGCTGGAACGTACTTATCACGTCGTGATGCATCTTGGATCAAGAAGAGAAAGAGATCAAGACAAATGTTTATCTTTTTATAGGCTTTAACAGCACCACCTAACGACGTTTGACGAAGCCAATGGGGGTAATCACATTTCAAGTTCCTTTTAACATCATTGGAAATGTGTTTGTTTTTTGTAATTTTATTATTCGTCATTATTATTATTTTATTATTATTATTCAAAATTCTTTTTAAAATAATCTAGGGTGTCGCTAAATTGTAGTAAGCTTTTCCATTTACGATTAGTAAATATAGGTTTTAATTAATAACAATTACCTAACCACTATAAATTAACATAGGATTTTAAAAGACTTAAAACGTTATAAATTATTATAATTAAAATTGAAAAAAATAAAAACAATTCGTGTAAAAATTCATCATTCATTGATAAAAATTTCTTAAGTCAATAGTGTCCATAAGATATTCATAAAAGCAATTAAATGCTTTTCTATTTAAATAATGTCAGTTTTATTGCATTTTTTTATTCTATGTTGGTCCTGGTTGACATAGAAATTTTATGATTTAAATTCTCCAAAGATTTGTCTTTATAACTGATGTAAACATTCGCCGTCGTCGGCATCCGTCCGTCTCGAGAGACGATGGACTAGCGCGGTGCGTTATGAGCCTGGGCGGGATATATGGAGAACTAGAGCTGCCCAGACGTCTAGTTCCCCATCTCAGCCTTGAGGATAAACCGATACAGCTTCCCGGAAGGTAGCACAAAGTGCCGCCCATCCGCCTTAGGGGCTCCACTCCGGGTTTGAATTCAGAGTTGTCCTTCTCCTAGACCAGTTGCCATCCAAGGCTATAGAGCCCAGTCAGTCCTGCTATTTACCCATAGCTGGAGGGAGAAGAAGAGGATTCACACCTTTCCCAAGGTAAGTGAATGTAATGGATTCGACTGGAATTCGAACGGCTCTCCGATTCCTCAATCCATGCCGCTATCCATTACTCCACCGTACCTCCTCAATGTAAACATTAAACGCTACAAAAACAAAAAATTTCTTGAAATTTCATAAAATTAAATAAATTTAAAAAAATATTTTTACCAAGTTTTATAAAATAAGAAAATGTTTCAAAAATAATTTAATTCATTTTTAAATAAGATTGAACGTTTAATCAAAATCCGTTAATTATCTGATTTTTGCAAGAATTTCTAATTCAATGTGTTCTTCACCGTAAAAAGACGCTAAAATTTCCCATACAAATTTATGACACCCCCTTCCCCACGTTGACACCAAAAAAACAAGATTTTTGACGAAAATTTCAAACGTTCTAAAAAAAGTATTATTAAATAATATTTTTACATAAAAAATCTTTTGGTCTTTCCTCTTAAAAATAACAAATATTTTTATGAAAAAAAATTTATGTTTGGGGCATATTTCCAACATGCACGGTCATTTTTTAGCGAATCTTTGGAGGTACTTATATGGAGGTACTTATATGGAGGTACTTATATCACAATGTGGGATATGTAAAACAAAGATGTTGGAAAGAAAAAGAAAAAGAATATAGATGAATTTGGCTAAACTGCAAAAAAATTCTTCCCAAAAATTTGAAACTACCAGCGTCTCTCGTTCATGCGCATTTGTAGTCGCAAAAACGTCAACAAACCCAGTCCGATGAAGTCCTAACGGATGAAATGTGTCACATATAATTTTTTCCCATTTTGTCTTACAATTTTCTCAATATATATATATATATATATATATATATATATATATGGAGTAGACTCTGTGACCAACACCAAACGGCGACAGCCTGTTTAATGCTTAAACACAATCTTCAGGACATCTATGTTGCGTTTTGGGTTGACTATTTATATATGCTGGTCAATGGTGCATTATGGATAGTGAGATCTATTATCCTAACGGTTATTGGGTAGGCGGTGACAGTTATATTTCAAATTATTCTAGAGGCTGTTGAGTGGGAATAATTGTGGATCCAAATGCTATTATTTGTAGCTATATTATATTGTTGTTAACTTTTTACTTGTTATTATTGATTACTTATTTGTTGTCGATTCTTATTATTACATTTACTTATGTTTATGAAAGCTTTCGCAGTTTGTTAATTTGTTTATTATTTGAGTAATTTGTTTATTTAGATTTTTTGGTTTATTTTATTCATTTATGTATTTATTTTTTTCTCTGCGGTTGGTTATATTATTTGTTTAGGTTAAGGTATCGGCTTTGTTGAAAGTATGTTACATTATCTACGTTTTATATATTGTATATCCTTGCATTTAGCTTTTAGTTTTCGATTTTTAAGTAACAGTAAAAAATGTTTTCGTTTTTGCATTTTTCGTTTTTGAGATAAGATTTGAACATTTATTTAGTAATTTGTGTTGGTCTGTGAAGATGATGATAGCTATTTTTTTCTCCTGACAGTTTACATTTTTTGGATTTATTGTTGTCGGCTGAAGCTGGTTTTATTATTTTTCATGATATTACCGGTGTAATTTGGATTTAGTTTTTAATTTCCAATATATGTTTAGAAAGCATTATGCTATTAGCGTATTTACTACTTGTAAAGGACTTTTTTGTGTGTGTAGTTTCTCTGTTTCCAGAGTCCTTCAGTTACTCCGATGTATATTTTTCAACTGCCATTTAAGTGGGATCCGTTCTTTACACTTCAGTTAATGGTGGGTTTTGTTTGTGCGGGTGTTTTTTGTTTTTGTTTTTTTGTTTTTTCTTTTTTTTTGTTATTTTCTTATTCTTTTTTTTATTATTTGTATCATGTTTTCGGTGCAACTGTAACTGATTTTTACTGTATTTTTGTTGAATACCTTATGAAGAGTGCTAGATCGGGAGGGGAAATGTTTGTTTATGAGTGTAATGAATTCTTTTCCTACTTTTGTTTTTACTGTACGACGTGTTAAACCAGATAATGTTTCTTTTTCTGTTGGCTTTTTTGTCCTGTGTGGTGTGTTTTAGGATTGTTTGATAGCTATAAATAACCGCATCCTGATCCACAATTATTTCCACTCAATAGCCTCTAGAATAATTTGAAACATAACCTTCACTGCCTACCAAATAACAGGATAATAAAATAGACCTTACCATAATACAACATTATCAAGAATATATAAATACTCAAGCCAAAACACACACGGTCTGAAGATTGTGTTCAAGCATGAAACTGACTGTCACAGCTTGACGTTGACCTCAGTGCCTATTTTGTATGATTCATATCTACATACGCTCATACATTATATTGAGATATTTTACCCATAAATATAGCATAACTTAAACTACATAAACACACACACAGACACACACACTCACACACACACACACACATATATATATATATGTATGTATATATATAATATATATATCATATACATAGAACCTTGTTTCACTGTATCACAGCTCATCAGTGTGGATAGACGACCGATTGCTTCAAGCCGGAATTAAGCATACGTCAGAGATCCTACCCCTAAGCTATCGGTGCACGGCTGAGAGAGGGAAATTTGAACGTATTATATACGAGATGTATACAAACGATAGTAGCCAAGAGGGCTTAATTCGTAATTGAAGAGCGATGAGTTAATAGCAACAGCAGTTTTGTTTTTAATATATATATATATATATATATATATATATATATATATATATATATATATATATATATATAAGATAAGATAAGAAACAAATAAGAAACGCTTATAAATTTACAGTTTCCTATTTGTTTCTTATATCATTCTGTTCGATTCTAATTCATATTTGGTCTCTTCTCATATATATATATATATATATGTGTGTGTGTGTGTGTGTTTGTGTGTGTTTGTGTACACACACACATATATATATGTGTCTGTTTATATATATATATATATATATATATATATATATATATGTCTTGAGCGACAGCCTAATTCTACAAGCAACAGCCGCCTACGCTAAAATGCAAAGCTCTTCGGTAAAATGAATTGGAGCCCTCTGGCTGAGGGGAGTTTGTTTACATTTGTAAAACAATACGCTAGAATTAGCAGTTTCTCTCTGCCGGCTTAGGAGTAGAATCTTCGACTGACATCAAATCGGTCGGGTTTCGATCCTGGTTTGAAGCTTTCGGCCATCTAGTCACACTGAAGAGTTGTGATATAGCGAAACAGTATTGTTTGCGAATGACACACACACGCACACACATACATCTATATATATATAATGAAGTATCAATAAGCACCTAGCAGAATTTTGGTCTTCATTCAGTCAATCTGATTAATGTTGACCACTAAAATTATTAAGCGTATTGACAAAGGAGCTGATTATAATTTATGATGTAATTTTTGTATAAGGAATTTTCATTATTAATATGCCATAATATTGGACCATCATGCTCATCTTGGTTGTTGTACTCCAATATCTCCACTGATACATCAGGTTCAGTCCGTACCGATATGATAATTTATTATGTAATTTTTTACATGGGGAATTATCTTTATGCAATTAATATATTATCGGTAACGCATCCTGATCTTCCCTTTATACGATATACTGCTATGAAGACTTCGCAACAATAAACGTGTTTCTGCCTCGTGTTGCGCTAACAAAAGAAGATCTTATTAATAAGTAAGTTATATGAGAATGTTAATAAATTGATTTTTATTTCTCCTCTTTCTGCTTGTTTGTTCGTTTTTTTTGGGGGGGTGCTTTCTTTTGATGGTTAATGGTTTAAACAGCATTTTTTTTTCTCTTTCATGCGACATTAAAGTTAATTGAATTCAGAAAAACCCAACATGACTCAAGCGAGAAATACAACCAATACAACTGCAAAATTATTTAAATATGGCCGACATTTTTTTTGACCGTACGGGTAAACTAATACACGCACGCGCGCGCGCACACACACACACACACACACACACACACAGAGAGAGAGAGAGAGAGACATTCACATGAACATATATATGTATTTACACAAGCGTATACACACATACACACACGTATGTATGTATGTATGTGTGTGCATAATATTCATATTTATCCATTTTCCCTGTATTTTTATATTTCATTATGTTTCTATCTATTGATTTCTCTTGCTTTGTGTGTTTTTTGTCTGTCTATCGCTCGAAACATTTTCATCACTCTCTCTCTCTCTCTCTCTCTCTATATATATATATATATATATATATATATATATATATATATATATATCTCTCTCTCTCTCTATCTCGATATATATATATATATATATATATATATATATATATATATATATATATATATATATATACTGATTTCCTCCGAACGGTGGCAAGCCTGATTGCGGGCCACAGTCAGTGATTTATGGCCCTCGCTATCTTATCAACAATTTACTTTCTTTCCACTTACATTTATATACAAATTAAACTAAGCTCAACTATTAATGGATGAAAAATTTTCGCGGATTTTGACGTCATTCTTTTTTCCCTCCAAATCCATGAATTTGTTTTGCGCAAGAATTCACTTTTCCATTTCTAATTAACCATTATGTTGCATGTGTTTAAATTGTTCAGCCTTTAACAAGAAAAATTGCCGTAAAACGTTGTTGATTTATTTAAGATGGAATGATCTATTTTGACATTTATTTAAGATGGAATGATCTATTATGACATGTCTCTAATTTGTATTTAGATACATTGGATTTTCAATTTTTCTACTTGAATCGTTCACCTATATTGCGTATGACCCATTATTGTACATAATAAATATTGCAATAACATTTATATTTTATATGAATACTTCCTCATGAAAATTAAGATTTAGTAGAATGGGGAGTCCCGTATCTTAGATTGTGATGGGGGGGTGGAGCTGTATCACAGACTGTTGTACCAGCTCTGTATATTAGTATAACTTTCTGTCTCAATCTGTTCAAATCTATCAGTCTGTCCACACCTATTTTAATATCATCATATCCTGTTAGTCTTTCTCTCTATCCCATTTGTCTATATTAAGCTATTAATATCTTTCTGGCTATTTCTCTCTGCATATCTATCTATCTATCTATCTAGCTAGCTAGCTAGCTATGTTAATATCATCTGATAATCTTTCTTTTGTTTGTTAACATTTGTCTATATTGATATGTTCTTTCTTTTTCTTTTATTATCACTCTTTGTTCTTGTATATCTATCTTTGTTTAAATCTATCTATCTGTGTGTTTGTCTGTTTGTTCATATCTATCTATCTATCTATCTATCTATCTATCTATCTATCTATCTATCTATCTATCTGTCTGTTCATATCTATCTGTGTGTTTGTCTCTATCTATCTATCTATCTATCTATCTATCTATCTATCTATCTATCTGCCTGTCTGTCTGTACATATCTATCTATCTATCTATCTATCTATCTATCTATCTATCTATCTATCTATCTGTGTGTTTTTCTATCTATCTATCTATCTATCTATCTATCTATCTATCTATCTATCTATCTATCTGTGTGTTTGTTTGTTCTATCTATCTATCTATCTATCTATCTATCTATCTATCTATCTATCTGCACTTGCGCACAGATGTGCCATCCCATTCTTTTTGATTTTATTGTATTTTCTGTGTTAATATATGGAAATCGCTTTGTCTACATGTATTCCTTAACCCCAGTGCTATCGACTAACCCAATGCTCCCCCCCATTTGTATACATCTATTTTCCACGCCTTCCTAATCCAACTCAACCTGCCAATCGCCAACCTACTGTCATGTCAACAATACAAGCTTATCATTTATATCCATTCACACACGACTACAGTTACTTTCTCTTTCCAACAACCTCGTTCGACTTTCCCTGATATTACCGCAGATGACGGCGATGAACATCAACGCTTTCGATGACAATCTGACCACCTTAGATATTTTTTTCTCATTCAATCACTATGCACTCGGTAAACACCAGGGTCGTATCCAACAATCATTCCACTTATATAGATATTTACAGAACATAGTACACTACAGCACAAGGCTAAAGAAGGGCGGAGAAGAATATGTTGCGCCAATGTGCTAAGTGAAGATGTCTTACATGTAACCTTCGGAAATGGCCTATAAATCTGAGACCCTTTCATTTTTTTATCATATCTTTTTCTTTATATATTTTTCAAATCACTCACTCTCTCTCTCTCTCTCACTCACTCTCTCTCTCACTCACTCTCTCTCTATCTCTCTCTCACTCTCTCTCTCTCTCTGTTTCTGTATGGTCATATCTATCAGTTGGTTCATATATATCTATCTTAGCGAGATCTATCTATCTCATTTTGTTCTTATCTATGTTCGCATGGAGGCTAAGAGTGTTGCACATTTTCATTCTGTGTCTGAAGTGGATATTCCAAAGCTATGATTACAAATTCTGATTTTCAGGGCAAGCATATTTTCTGTATTTGGAACACTGGCGCAACACAGTCTTTATTTTAATATTGTGTTTAATCTGCCAAATCGTTATGAAGATGCCTCTATTAATTGTACCAGCCATATTTACCCCCGTTGTCTTTTCCCAGTGTCCAAACCCCTGGTTAGAAGCGAATCTTTGAACAATTGATTACAAGAAGAACTTTTTTGTTTTTGCGGATAAAACTTAAACATTAACAATCTGTCTACTTGTAAAATCAACGATAAAACTATCAAAGTCAACTTAATTCTATCACAATCTGTTCTTCTTTGCTTTTATTTGTCCAGCTATCGACCTCAGCCAATTCATATCTACGTCAGTCTTTCATATATCTATCTATCTATCTATCTATCTATCTATCTATCTATCTATCTATCTATCTATCTATCCGGTTTATACTACTCTCTCTCTCTCTCTCATATATATATATATATATATATATATATATATATATATATATATATATATATATATATATATATATATTTCGTTGAAAACAACTAACAAGGTTCATTGGTTGTTTTTTATAGAATTTCTCGCGTTCGTATAATTTCCTAACATGAGAAATTATATAAAATTTCAACCACTGTAACTTTTCAGTCGTTTTCAACGAAACTGGTATATAAGAGGGCTTTCTGCCCAAATACATACATATATATATATATATATATATATATATATATATATATATATATATATATATATATATATATATATATATATCACTGCCATGAATAGACAAAATTAGTTAGCTAACCGGTTTGTACCTCGCTCAACAGAGCTAAATCGAGGTAAATAGAATAAATTATATAATAATAAAAAAAAGACCAATGGACGAAGTTTATTGGTGGGGAAGAAGATATATATATATATATATATATATATATATATATATATATATAGATAGATAGATAGATAGATAGATAGATAGATAGATACCTGTCTGTTTTAGTTTTAAGATTTATCTGCCTGTTTATGTGTCTCACTCTGTTTATATCTATCTCTCTATCTATTTTTGTCTGGTGTTATCTCCCTCTCTATCTATTTCTGTCTGTTTCTTTCTCTATCTCTATATATGTGTCTCTCACATACACACACACACTCTCTCTCTCTCTCTCTGTCTCTCTCCCTCACACACGCACGCACACAAACACATACTCTATTTTTGTCTGTTCCTTTCTGTCTATCTGTCTCTCTCGCTCTCTATCGCGAATCATTCTCATTTTATATCATTTTCTATTCAAAATGAAAAGATCGTTTTTTATTCTGGGGTTTACAATTATGTCTTTTTTTTTAACTCATGTCTCATGTAATTATATAAATCCCTCTTCAATTTTCGTTTATCTCAGCCAAATCATATCTACTTCAGTCTTTTCCTCTCTCTCTCTCTCTCTGTTGCCCTCTTCTTCCTCCTCTCTCTCTCTCTCTCTCTCTCTCTCTCTCTATATATATATATATATATATATATATATATATATATTTACTTATATATATATATATATATATATTTACTTGACACCCCCACTGAGTCAGGTGGGGACACAAGGTCGGTTTACGTGGGAACCTGAGTGTTTTCACTTGGGCCGCTGGTCTAAGCTGGCCTTAGCTGGTCATAGCTTGTCCAAGCTGGTCAGAGCTGGTCTAAGCTAGTCGTAGCCGTGATACCACCAGCACAGGGACGGAGACATGTATATACATGTGCCAGGTATATATATATATATATATATATATATATATATATATATATATATATATATATATATATATAAGTAAAATATATATATATCAAGTAAAATATATATATATATATATATATTTACTTGACCTCTCACTGAGTCAAGTGGTGACACAAGGTCGGTTTTTTAACGTGGGGACCCGAGTGTTTTCACTATATATATATATATATATATATATATATATATGTGTGTGTGTATATATATATAATTTAATTTAGGACAGCGATTCAGTAATGAATTATACATCGGAAAATAATTAATGTTTATCTGTATCTGTATCTCACTCATTTAAACCGTCTTTTAGACTCCTCTCTTTAAAACTTCTCTCTGTTAAATTTGAATCCCCACCTTCCTGTTGTTCTCTCGTCTGTTACCCCTCTCTATGTATATGTAGGTTTGCTCTACGGTTGTATTGAGCTCTTTTGTTAGTTGTTACTCGTATCGGGGTTTTTTCTTTGGGCTTCAGACCTGCATCTGTGCGATTTTTTTGTCGGCAGAAGTTCATGTTTGTAGCTCTTTCTTTTTGTAAAACCTTTTTTTCCCTCGAGATTGATTAGCAAATCAAAAATTCGAAGGTTTTTCGAAACGAGTCTAGTTATCTCTCTCTCTCTCTCTCTCTATATATATATATATATATATATATATATATATATATATATATATATATATATCCTCTCCTCAATGTATCTCTTTTCTCAGATTGGCGCTCGTCTTTCACTTTTTCATTATAACTTTCTCATCTCTTGTTCTTTCAATTGTGCTTTCAAAGCCATACTTTAAAAGTTCCAAATTCTGTAACATTTCTTACTTCTCCCTATTTCTCTCTCTTTCTTTCTTTCTTTCTTTCTTTCTTTTATTTATTTACTTTATTTACTCATTTCTTTTTTCCTTTTCCGATATTTGGTTAATCCGTACAGGATTACTGACTTATCTTCTTTTGTTTTTCTCCTTCTTTGTCAATATTTATTAATTTCACACTAGTCTACCACCAGGTAATTCAGGTATAGCCTCTTTAGCTGTAACTTATTAGACTATTAAAAGAAAGAAAGAAAGAAAGAAAGAAAGAAAAAAAGAAAAAGAAAAGAAAGAAAGAAAAGTAACTGAAAAGGAAAAAATACCCTTGAATAAGAAAGAAAGAAAAGAGAATGTAAAAATAAATTGTTGATTCCTGTTTTTTTTTTGTTATTGTTGTTTTCGTTCCTAATATTATTTCACATGCAGTAACTCTCTCGATCTTAGTGGCTTTACTGCCTTGCTTGGGACGAATTGATTTTTAAAAAAATGCCTAGAGTGAAATATTATCTATCCTATATATCCGTATATGCACTCCTTACTACCTCCTTTTAGGCACTTACAACAAACTCATTCCGTAAAACTCTACCTTGAGGGGCTCTTTCGATTTATATTGGATGAACAATAATATTATAAAAGGCTAAAACCCACTAAGCATCGCTCTGCGGCAAGCGCACTTCCCTGTCGCATCTTTTTAGGCGCCGCCTCCATCGTTCAAGTACCTCTCATCCCCCAATTCATTCTAATCTCCTCCTCCTCCTCCTCTTGTTCGCCTTGTCTACAAGCACCTGCATCTACAAATCTATCTACGTTTGTTGAGCTTCACTAAGCAAGATCGGCAGAATCCGATGTCCGAATGGCAGCACCAATACACGGAGTCACCCGAGTAGAAACGTGAAGAAGAAGAAGAAGAAGAAGAAGAGTGTATAAACTCAGGTGCGTAGCGATGTGCACTTATATGTACACACGCGATATTAAAAGGGCAGTGACTAACACATGAATACTGTACTATTTAACACTGGTCATTGATAGAGAAGAGTAAGGCGAAAACATATAGGGAAGTGTGTGTGTGTGTGTGTGTGTGTGTGTGTGTGTGTGTGTGTGTGTGTGTGTGTGTGTGTGTGTATTGATGCGGGAACGCCATAAACCACATGACCGAGAGAGAGAAAAAAAAGATCGACTTTCTTAAATAAAAGGAGAAAAAGATTCAAATTAAAGAAACGCGGGCGATGCGTCGGGAGGAGGGAATTATGATTGAAAATTGCAAATAGATGAGGGTTAAAACAGAGTGGGAAGAATGTCTCGAAAAATAAGTAAAAAAAAAGAAAGAAAAGAAAGAAAGAAAGAAAGAAAGAAAGAAAGAAAGAAAGAAAGAAAAAGGTTGAAAAGGAAATACACGTAAATAAGAAAGAAAGAAAGAACGAAAGAGGGAAGCTGAAAATGAAATAATCTAAATAAAAAGAAAGAAAGTTGGAATAAAAGATATACCCGTGAATAAGAAAAAAGAAAGAAAGAAAGAAAGAAAGAAAGAAGGAAAGAAAGAAAGAAAGAAAGAAAGAAAGAAAGAGGCTGAAAAGAAGAAAAAAAAAGATGGGTGATCTGATAAGAAGAAATAAAAAATATAAAATGCGGAAGAAAGAAAAATGATGGGGAAAAACTGATTAAAGCAAAAATGAAAAACAAGAAAATCCGAATAAAATCAAAAACGAAAACAGTAGCAAAAACATACACGAAAAAGTAAAAAAAAGGAAAGAAATAAAAAAAAACTATAGATGAGAATGTACGAAAGAAAATAAAAATCAGGAAGAATAAAAAGGAAAGAAGTAAAAGAAAACGAATTCAAAGAAGAAGAAGAAGAAGAAGAAATAGGAACTTGGCAGCTGTCACTGAACGCGAAAATATTCAAAGCGAGACTTGATAGCAAGCAGGACGCAACATAACAACTTGCAAACAAATTGAGTCTCTTTTGTTCGTAGTCGTCATGTGTTCGTTCACAGTCAAGGCACGTTTTCCCCAACCCGACGATTCAACTTTCGGCCAAATAGCGCATGCCTCCTCAAGCAGTCAGACTTCAGACCAGAGGTGGCGACCCCTTGTTTGGCCCTCAAATAGGTGGAAGCTGTCCTCCACATTCCTGTTTTCACTTCTCATATTCATCTGGACCTTTTCAGTTTCGGCGCGGGCACAGACTGTACCGCCTCACAAACCGTTGAGGAACACAGTTTATGGGAAAATACAAGGTTATGTCCGTGAAGTATTACCCGACAAATTTGTGGAATACTACCTGGGGGTCCCGTATGCTGCACCACCAGTCGGAGATCTACGTTTTGCGGTAAGAAAAAAATAACTCTTAAATATGCATGAATAGCATGACCTCATATTCATATATATATATATATATATATATATATATATATATATATATATATATATATATATATATATAGAATACCAATGTTTGAATATGTGTGTGTGTGTGTGTGTGTGTGTGTGTATGTATCTGTAAGAGGATGCTGAAAAGTTCTCGGCCCGAACCACTGCTCAAAAGAGGACCGACTAAACAAAAGAATAATTTATTTTGGGATCACTTCTTTCTCGGGCCGAGCAATTTCCATTACATCTTTAAGAAAATTGGAGTGAGTAGTAAATGTTTATAGTCATTATTGTGTACATGAACGACACCTGCTCAATCAATCAATCAATTAATCAATATATATATATATATATATATATATATATATATATATATATATATATATGTGTGTGTGTGTGTGTGTGTGTGTGTGTGTGTGTGTGTGTGTGTCTATATGTTATATGTAAATATACATACGCGTATATATAATATACGTATTCTAAAAGGTATATATCAGTAGATATTGTAACAAATTCTAAATATAATCTGTACAATTTCTAAATTTTATATATATCAATTTGTTACCAATTCGTGGTTATTATTTCATTTATATTTTTTTTATATACTTATAAAATATATTCATATATTTTATAAGTATATAAAAAGTAAGTATAAATCAAATATTCAAACTATTTAAAAAATATTTCGAATATATTAAAATTATTTCAATGGGTTATATTTTATTGCTCTTTAATGTAATAATATATATAATATATATCTATATAATTATTATATATAATATATATATATATATCCTTCTAATATATATAATATAATGTTTCAATGTAATATATTTTATTGTTCTATAATAGCTGTTATATTTTCATACAAATTTCAGGCATAAAATGTAGCAACATTTATAGGACGGAGGGAATATTTTAAACAAACGAAGCCCTTATATTTGTTTTTAATATGATTACAATTTGTTTTTTACTGCATATTTATTTACACATGTTACAGAAGCTGTTCGTTTGTCTCTATAAGAATTTTTGGGAGGTGGCGTTATTAAAAGGATAGTATTTATACATCTTTGACTGCATCTGCTGTGTTGTTTTTTGGGTTTTTTTTTTCATTTTTCTTCTATTTTCTTGTTATTTTCTGATTTTAGAAAAAACAGATGCTTCTCCTTGTTACTAACCTGATTAGAATGCAAATAAATCAACCCAATATTAACTAGCTCACGCACTATTTCTAGGGCATATATTAATCTTTTAACGTTGAAATGGATAGATGCAACCGTAAGTTCTATTCTAATAGTTTCTTCTCACGCACTTCCCGACTGTGGAACTCTCTTTCGGCTTCCTGCTTTGCTTTTCAAAAATGTAACATCAATCTGTCTTTTTAAATTCTGTATTTTAATGTTCTTTCTCCTGTTCTTATTCTCTTTCACTCTCAGAAACCTCTTGAGTCTCAGTAGCTTTGTCGCCTTCCTTGGAGTTAAATGATTAAATGAATTTTGCATTTACTGAGACTTGATTGATACAAAGATAAGATTTATCTTTTGAACTCTCCTACTGAAATACAATCAGCTATACATGCATGTAAATAGCTATTGAATATAGTTTAGCGCCCAGTTTGAATATTCAAGACTAGCGAACGGTCTATGGAAGAAGAATCACTCAGCCTCGATTTAAGACCGAAGTGTAAGTTTGTTTTTTCGAACGGGCAACTAATTGATCCGAAACACGCTACACAGACAACAGGCTGCAAAAATAATGTGCTTATCATTTCTATACAATAAACATCCACCATATCTCGGTCTGTGTCTTTCTATCTATCTATCTATCTATCTATCTATCTATCTATCTATCTATCTATCTATCTATCTGGATATATATATATATATATATATATATATATATATATATATATATATATATATATATATATATATTATAAATTAACTGATTTAACATATAGTTTTTCGCTACACAGTAATAACTATGTTTCAAAAATTGAAGCTAAAACTTTAAATTTAATTATATAATTAAATTAAAAGCATTAGTTAAGTTTCATCTTCAAGCGAATATTGAAGTTGAAACGGAACTAATATATATATATATATATATATATATATATATATATATATATATATATGAAGTCTCTAAAACCAATTCATAAATATATTTGAACACAGATACATATATATCTATATGTGTGCGTGTGTATGTGTTCATGCCTGTGTATGTTTGCGTTTGGGTGTATGCGCGCGCGTGTGTGTTCTATTGACTATGACTGACAAGAAATATTTAGAAATATTTTTTTTTATTCAATTTTTTTAGCATTCTGAGAATGTTTCCTTT